GGGATCCTCAGCATCTTCTCCAGCCCCACATTCTCTCAAATGCATTGAGATAATGGACTTGGAGTGAAAACTGGGACACATCACTGGAAATTACAAGTGCAAAAATGCCATCAAGTGTGACTTGATGGACCGCAAAGTACTGCTGGAAATCTTTTGGATGGGTTAAGACAGTGGCCGAGAACTTGCTTCATGCATACAAGGCTTAATTTTTTGCATATGTGGATTCATGCCATTGCCTATCTCCAGGAAGCTGTCAAGCCTTGGGAGTCATTGCTAAAGCTGTTGAATCCATAGTAGAGGAAGGCAAGACAAAGGGGGAATGAATGGAAAAAACATGAGGATGAGAATCACCTTGTTTCTCTTCCCCTTGTCTAAACTCTAGAAAACTGCATTTACCAATTACCAAATCCAACCAGAAATACACTGAACATGACGAAAAAGATTACACAGCATGTAGAAAAGTAACCTGGGAGAATCCTGTTATCTACGATTTCAGTGGCAAGGATATTATTAGCACAAAAATGTGGGTGGAAGAAAAAGAAATTCCAGCTATAGAGGACTGGCTGATGAAATGAATGGACATGTCGGAACTGGCTAAACTAACAAACTGGTTAAATTGAGCCATGGCAAGAAAGATAGAGGAAGACTGGTCCCAGTTATAGAAGATCACAAAAAGAGATGGAAATGACTTTAAAAAGGAAAAGAGGAAAGAATAAGAAGTACAACAACATTAGATTATTGCAAGGCCATTACTGATGAGATGAACCAGTAACAAACCAGAGAGGCTTTAGCTAAAATTCTTATTTATTTAAATGAGAAGCCAAAAGTGTTTTACAAAACCAGACCAACAAGGGAAGTGCAGAAATTAATATTAGGTAAACAATTAGGAATATGTTACACAATAATAATAATAAATTGCACTAAGAATGCAAGTTAAGAACAGTAGATAAATACTTTGTAGAAAGAGGAATAGACATAGAATATGTTATGTATAGCATTCTTATTGTATTTATTTGAAATATTTGTTTGTTATAAAAAAAATAAAGAGTGGAGGGGGAGAGAATAACTTGAAAGCACAAAATCTTTTGTTAGGTTTTATCATTTGACCAATTCATAAGAATTCAGGTGAGAAATGGAAAGGTTCATCCACTTTTAAACTGGGGTGGGACCCATACAGCCTTCCAGATGCTGTGGGATTGGGTCACCCAGCATCCCTCACCTTTGTAGCTAGGGCTGCTGGGATTTGCAGTCCAACTACATCTATCTGGAAGTCTGCATAAAACCCACCAGGTAATCAATATGGCCAACTCAAAAGTCAGTCAGAAGAGGGAGCCCTAAGATCACAGCCGAGACGGATAGGCTGGCCATGGATACATGGAAATAGCATCCCCAGTTCTTTTTTAGCCACAGTGCAAAAAATTTAGAAGAGGAAGAGGTTCCTGGCATCAGTGGACAAGTAGAAGGAAAAGCCTATTTTGTTGTCTGTTTAATTTTTCAGGCTGAAGGTTGAGGAAGCCAAGCTCTGCATGCACTGCAGCTGCATAGATGTCGAATGGCACATGGGTGTGCATTTTGCATAGATGTGCAGTGCAGGTACGCATGGGCACTAGAGTGTGCTTGGGGATTTGATGCTGTGTTTCGTTGCACGATATCACGATTCATGAATGACACAGCAATGTCTCTGCATAACTCCCAGAGCATAAAGTAATGTCTGAGATCCTGGATGGGGATTAGGTAAGCAATTAGGAATAAGTAACACAACAACAACAACAACAACAACAATTATTATTATTATTTGCACTAAGAATGCAAGTTAAGAACAGTAGATAAATATCTTGAAAGTTCAGCATAGGTAGAACTATGGAAAACTTCAAAATGCAAAAGCACTTTGCAGTCAATTCACTCAGAGGGAGAGGAGAGAACAAAATCTTGCCCTTCCCTGTAGGCTCAAGCAAAAACAAACTGCTGCAGCCTCTCCTGGTTTGTGGGTTCTTCATCATTAACAACCATTGCCTTCTTGATCACAGTCTGATGTTGTTTGGCTCTACTTGTCCTGGTTTTTATCTGTGAAATTTTGGGGGAGATGTGGGACTTAATATCAGTTTGCAAAGGGATCTTGCAGCACCTTTGAGACTACTGTATATACTTGACTATAGTTGACCTCATATAAGTCGAGGGCAGGTGTTGGGGCCAAAATTATGGATTTTGACGTGACCCATGGATAAGTCGAGGGTAAAACTTAGGGGCATGTAATTGTGGATTTAAAGGATGGAGCAAAGGAAAACAATACCAAAGAAGTTACAAAATCCCAGCAGGCATAACTGTTTGCGCTCACCCTAAAGTCTGGATGGATGAGGGAGTAGAAGGGGGCCAATCTTTCCAGGGCAGATTAAACTCTTGCCTTTCAGCAGAGGATGGTTACATATGTCTGTGAGTTAAAGTACAGTACTTACATTGACCCGTAGATTTTTAAAACCTAAATTTCTAGACTTATGCACGAGTATAGACAGTAACTGTGTAAAAGAAGGTGTTGCGTAAGCTTTTGTAGCCTTGGTCTACTTCCTCAGGTGCATGGAAAGGAAGCAGACCAAGTCTAGGAAAGCTCATGCTAGAGCATCTTCTACACAGTTCGTCTCAAAGGTGCTGCAAGATCCCTTTGCATACTGTTATACCTTCATAAATCACGAGCAAGATGCCAGCTTATGTTCCGTCTTCTCTGTATAGGATTTTTGGCCTTTCCTTAAAGAGCCAGACTGTTGATAAAGGCATGGGGCCAGTCTGAAATAACTCATTAGAGGGATGGCTAGCTGTCCAAAGAGGCTGGTGGTCATCTGGAAGGGCTGAGATGCACACCGAAGGCCCATCCTTGCAAAGCGGAAGAAGTTGCCATGGATACTCTGCTCCTGTTAATTGCACCGCCGCACCGGGGAAACCCTGCAGGGCTTATTTGCATCTTTGCAGCGTTACCATTAAGGAAACACTATCCCTTCCCACAAATCTGGGGGATTTTAGAAAGACGTAGTAAGACTAGGGCTGCGTTTGCATTGCAGAAATAATCTAGTTTGACACCACTTTACCTGCTGTGGCTCAATGCTATGGAATTCTGGGAACTGTAAGTCAGTCATGGCACCAGAGTTCTCTGACAGAGAGGGCTAAATGTCTCACAAAACTACAATTCTCAGAATTCCATAGAGCGGAGCCCTGGCAGGTAAAGTGGTATCAAACTGGATTATTTCTGCAGTGCAGATGCAGCCTAGGAAAGATTCATGGAGGCAAGCCTGGGGAAGACTATGCAAGGATGGTTGTCGATGGTCCAAAACACACTGCAGAAATAATCCGCTTTGAGACCACTTTAACTCCCCTGGCTCAGTGCTAGGTAAATCTGGGCACTGTAGTTTTGTGATACATTGAGCCTTCTCTGTCAGAGAGCTCTAGTGCCAAAGCAAACTACAGTTCCCAGGATTCCCTAGCACTGAGCCAGGGCAGTTAAAGCGGTCTCAGACGGGATTATTTCTGCAGTGTGTTCTGGACCAAGGTCTTGCTGGACTGGACCTCCTGTGGATGATAACATTCGGCACCATGGACAGCTCCCCTGCCCTGCATTTCAGCCCCAGTGCCCATCATTCCCAGCAAACTTGCAGAACTTTGGACAGCTCCTTCCCAAGTTTGCTTGAACATGGCTGACCTCAGGGCCATCTTCCTCCCCCAGAAATTTCTAAATTGGACCAGAAACTTCTCAGGGTCTTGATCTGGGCCCCAGCAGCAAGCAGGCTTAACCTTTCGACGCGTTGAAAGGGGGAAAAGAAGCAAGACTGGCAAA